TAGTCGGGTCGGGTTTATTTTGTCTACTTATAGAGTAAAAAAGAAGAAAAGTAAAAAGAATAGCGAAGGTAGGTACGACCGTAAGACTACTTTGATTGTTGCAAATATGTTCTATATATTACTCATGATTATAATTTCTTCTTTGCATGTTAGATCACCCTAGCTAGTGGATGAGTAGATTACTTAGAGTCCACATAAACAACACAAAAAGTAATACCAAGAAAACAAATACACGAAAATACAAAAGATAGCTTTTTCTTAGAAAAAAGGTATTGTGAAAGTGAGAAAACAAGGGCTACACAAACAAAAAAATTTCACCATGACATAAGCAGGGTTATTATGTGGTAATCTTTTTGAGTAGTCAAACTAGACAAAAATTGCGGCACTAGCACAAAAAAACTTTACTAATAGGTAGATTATAAATTAGTAAATTTACCTTTACAGACTATCCTACCCAATTCGTTGCATGTAAGTCTAACAAAATACAGCTCTCTGGTTTATACCCCTGTCTATATCCTGTAACTGCTCAAGTTACATGACATGACACAGTTTGGGAAAAATTGAGTTATCCTAAACACTTGTTCATCTTGTGGTTGGCAGTTCAAGATAAACTCCAAACTCAAGATAGATTGCTCAAGCATGGGATTATTCAGACATCTATTTGCAAGCTGTGTGATGGTTCTAGTACTGAGAACCATAATCATCTCTTTTTTGAATGCACAATGTCAAATTGTGTTTGGAATGGTATAATGGAGTGGCTTAAATTCAAGTGGAGGTGTTGTGAATGGTCTTCCCTCTTGAATTGATATAGTTCCAGATTGAGGGGTAGTGGGTTTAAGCAAAAAATTAAAAGGATGGCATTAGCTGCTACAGTCTACAATATTTGGAGAGATAGAAATACCAGAATCTTCGAGATGGAGAATATATCAGCTAATAGTTTGATCAAAAACATAAAGTTGGATATCCTCACCTCTATATTGAACAAATCCCTGTCGGCTGAATGCAGATGATGGGTTCTCTCCTTGTAGAGCTCAAATATATTGAACAAATCACTGTCGGCTGAATGCAGGGATATGAATTGGATTCTCTCTTTGTAGAATTTCATGTTGTGGAGGTTAGTTTTTAGAGGGATTAAAGGAGGAACATGTTTTTGTTTGCTCGAGTATAGGTTCTACTGTGTGTTTCATGTACAGGATTTACCAAATTGTTGTATTTTTTGAAATTTTTTGCCGAGCTCTAGTTTTGTGAGCTGCAAGGTGTTATCTCACATTTGGCAGTGAGATTCTTGATGTACATACCTTTTACATTTTGGAAATGAATAATTTTTTCATTTACCAAAAAAAAAAAAATTCTTTTTCGCGCGGTCAAGAATTTATTCTTTCTCTCGCGTAAGGTAACCACAAGCTGTAGGTAGACCTGTCCATCCGGGCCGGCCAAGCCCGGTCCGGCCAAGAAATTCGGGCCCGGGCCGGGCAAAACCGGAGCCCGGACCCGGGCCTAACCGGGCCGGGCTCCGGACCGACCTGGTTTTTTTATTTTTTTCTTTTCTTTTTTTATAAATAAATGCTAAAATTTGTTTAAAATTCTTATATTTTATATAATTATGTATTAGTATATACTTACAAATTATTATGCAACTATATATTATATATACATATATTATATGTAAATATATTGTATATATTTATAAGTTATAACTTGAGAGAGAGAAAATCGTATAAGTAGCCATTGCCCGTTGGTCCAATGGGTAAAAAGTAACCGTTGTAATATACTATACTTATATATACTTATATACTAAGAGAGAGAGTATACACACACATATTATACATATATAAGAGAGAGTATACATATATAAGAGAGATTATACTTATATATACATATATACTAAGAGAGAGAGTATACACACACACACATATTATACATATATAAGAGAGAGTATACTTATATATACATATATACTAAGAGAGAGAGTATACATATATACACACATATATTATACATATATAAGAGTGTATACTTATATAAGAGAGAGTATACATATATAAGAGAGAGTATACATATATAAGAGAGAGAATACTTATATATACATATATACTAAGAGAGAGAGTATACACACACACACACACATATTATACATATATAAGAGAGAGTATACTTATATATACATATATACTAAGAGAGAGAGTATATATATATATATACACACATATATTATACATATATAAGAGAATGTATACCTATATATACTTATATAAGAGAGAGTATACATATATAAGAGAGAGTATACTTATATATACATGTATACTATAAGAAAGAGTATATATATACATACATACATACATTATACATATATAAGAGAGAGTATATATATACACATACATATTATACATATATAGAAATATATTATATATACATATATTATATATATACATATATAAAAATATATTATATATACATATATTATACATATATAAAAATATAGGGAAAAATGTTTCAAGGCCCCAAAACCAAAAATCGGATGTGGGCAGCCCCCCTGTATTTTTTTTGGTGTGACAAACCCCCCAAAACCCAAATTAATACTGAATCAGCTCTTTTTTCATTTCCAAGAAAATTGTTTAAGCTATTAAAAAATCCCAAAGAAAGAACCCAAACGGTTTAATTCGTTTGGGATATCTTTAGCCCAAACGGTTAAAACCGTTTGGGAGTATATATATATATATATAGGCTAAATACCCATATTGGTATTTTAATTCAACCCCATTTCCCAACAAGGTATTTTAATTAGAAAATTCGGCGATAAGACATTTTAATTGAATAAAATTACCATTTAGGTCCTTTTTCTTGTCGGCGGCCACTTTTCCGGCGAAAACTCATCACGTGCGTTGCACGTGGGGGATTAATCTGTGTTTAAGATGATGATTTAGGTCTGTTTTCTGACGTGGCAGAGAATTAACTCTCTCTCTCTCTTCTCTCTCTCTCTCTCTCTCATCTTCTTCCCCTCATTCTCAGGTTCTCTCTCTCTCTCTCTCTTTCTCATAAGTTCACGCACAACGTTCAAGGCATGACCAGCCTCCAGCGCGTCGCCATTGGGCTCGTGTTCGGAATGCTGGCAATGGCTACGTCCACGGTCGTTGAGAACAAGAGGAGGCGGTTTTAGGTCGAGCGCGGCGTTAAGATCAGCTGTTTCTGGCTTGTTCCTCAGTACTTCCTGGTGGGCACCGGCGAGGCCTTTGCTTACGTTGGGCAGCTGGAGTTTTTCATCAGAGAGGCTCCGGAGAGGATGAAGTCGATGAGCACGGGCCTGTTTCTGACGACGCTGGCGCTGGGGTTCTTCCTGAGCAGCGTGTTGGTTTCCTTGGTCGACGAGGCGACGAACGGAGGTTGGATCAGGAACAACTTGAACAAGGGGAGGCTGGTGTAGTGGGAGGAGAGAGGGAGAGCTTGGGGCGCCGGAGGAGTTGAGGGCGGAGCTCAGGGGTTTCGGCAGTTGGAAAGCGACGAGCTGGAGATCAGGCGGAGGCAGTGCGTGGTTGAGGGGGCTGGGCGGTCAGGGGTGCAGGTGGCGGCGGCGGTCACGGGTCGTTCAGGAGGGCAAGGGGTCCGACTGGGCGACGAGGGAGGAGGTGCTGGAGGGCTGTTTGAAGGGGTGATGGCGGTTATGGAGGCGGTCGTGCTGGCTTGCCGGCGACGGTCGGAGAGGATTCTTTGTGGATCTGAGAATGAGGGGAAGAAGATGAGAAAGAGAGAGAGAGAAGAGAGAGAGAGAGTTAATTCCCTGCCACGTCAGAAAACAGAGCTAAATCAGCATCTTAAACACAGATTAAGCCCCCACGTGCAACGCACGTGATGAGTTTCGCCGGAAAAGTGGCCGCCGACGAGAAAAAGGACCTAAATGGTAATTTTATTCAATTAAAATGTCTTATCGCCGAATTTCCTAATTAAAATACCTTGTTGGAAAATGGGGTTGAATTAAAATACCAATATGGGTATTTAGCCCAAAGGAAGGAGAAGAAACAGCACGGGCTACTTCTGCAATTATCAAATATTTTCTGTTATTAGTCGGCTCAACTCAATGTCACAACTTTAAACAATAAATATGAGGTGGGTTTTGTTGTTTATGAATCATATCATCACATAGAGCAGGAACGGTATTGTACGTTGGTGATAGTAAAACGAAGAATAATACTTTCCACGTAATGATCTTCTATTTTATCTAATAAATAATTGTGATTGTTTTTTAATGAAAAAGTGCTAGAAAGATTAATGGGCACGTTACGTGCAGCAACCTTCGCATTTGATTTACCAAGCCAGAGGATCCGGAGTAATTTTGCAAATAAACCCCCAACACAAGCTATGGACATTCTAGGAATTCCTTAACAGGCTGCTAAAGTTTGCTGTTTTCCCTTGTACTTGATTTTTATTTTTTATTCATCTCCTCAAGATTAAGCTTTTTCTTACTTAAGTAACCAGCTTGAGGCATGACTTTGTGAAATTAAAAATGGTATAATACACTTTGAAAAAATACTCGACATTACGTAACTTTACTATTTATTATGAATTACTTGGTAACTTATGAAGCTCTCCCTCTTTAAAAAGAGGGGGGAAAACTGGGACAAACCTGCATCTTTTCTTGCAGGAGCTTACATCGCCCATATTATTATTATTTTTTTCAAATAGTTGCATTCACCATTTAGAGAACAGATAAAGTAGCATACAATTGCAAAAAGATTCGTGCTGTAAATAAATAACCACGGTCTGCTCCCTCAATTATAGAGTAGAACTTTGCTACAGGGACCCAAAATATGGAACCAATAGAGGGGACAAGTGAGGTGTCTCCCTCCTATTGGATAATGAGTTGGCCATCATTAATGATGGCCAACTCATTATCCTGTTTCATGTTAACATGTTTTGGGTAAGAAAATTACATTGTGGATTATCATAACTATTTTTTTTAATATTGTGGATACATATGGGTAATGGGTATATGGTTTACTTTTCAGATTTTGGCCCAGCATATTAGAGATGCTTTTGAGAGTGAAGATGAAATAGAGAAGTTGACAACCGAAGATCAAATTCAATTTTGGCGGAATACGGCCAAAATTAATTGGAAACTACTCCACACTGTCAAGCGTAATAAGCGCCTTCAATGGGAGGAATGCTCTAAGGAGATACATAGGCTGAACAAGAAATTAGAGCGTTATGAAGGGACCGCTGACTTGATTGACCCCGAAGACCTGAAGAAGAATGTGAAGGGGATTATGTCACAGAAAGAGGGGCATATAGGGTCTGCACAAAAGAAAATAAGGAGGAGTATTGATTCTGAGGACAGGGGTGATGATGGAATTTGCTTCGATTATGACGAGGTAACCAATATTGGCAAGGAAGCAGAGAAGGAGTTAGAGAAAGGTGAATGGCAAGAGATGGAGGATGATAATTTGGAGAAAGCTGTAGAGAGTGAGGAGGATAAGAAAGAGGAAGCGACTGTGGATGAGAAGAAAGAGGAAGAGCAAGAGCAGGAGAAGAATGAGGAAGAGGAAGAGGAAGAGGAGAAAGTGGAAGAGGAAAAACATCCGAAGAAAGATGAAGAAATAGTGGTGGAGAACAGAGAGGGAGAATGTGCTGAGGAGAAGAAAGATGAAGAAAGGATGGAAGAGGAAGAGGAAAAAGGAAAGAAGAAAGATGAAGAAAAAGTGGTGGAAAACAGAGAGGGAGAATGTGCTGAGGAGAAGAAAGATGAAGAAAGGATGGAGGATGGAAAACAGGTGCAAGTTTATCAGAAGAGAATGAAGAGATTAGCGTCAAAGGGGACTAGGGGACCAAGTACCAGAAGGCGGACGCGCTCACAACTAGTCCGCACCCCTTTCACTCAAGAAAAGAAGAAGGAAGTTCATCAAGAGATAATTAACATATCACACCACAAGGAGGAAGAGAGGGAAAAAATCAGGTTCTATTGTAAGCCTGATGAATGCACTTGGGATTTTTTGGGGAAGAGGAAAATCAAGAAGAAGGAGGAGGCTCTTTTGAAGTTGCTGAACGAGGATATTCCTAACATTGATGATTTTAGCATACGTTTGATTGATAGTAAAGGAACCTTCGTTCACAACTTTAGAGTACCTCAACACGTATTATCAAAGCTCACACCAGATGAGAACAGAAGGATCTCTGAGTTTTGCAATCAAAAAGCCCATCAGTAAGTTTAGTCATTCTGAATAACGTATGCTAGGACATGTTAGCTTTCATTGTTACGTGTTAACATTTCCAGGTTTATGTTAATTATTACCCATTTATGCTAACGTTTGCTATAAAATGTTAGCTTTCATCGTTACGTGTTAACGTTTCCTTATTTATGTTAACTTATACTCATTTATGCTAACGTTTGCTAAATCATGTTAATATTTCCATATTTTTCTATAGTAAGTGGTTGAACGAGGTTTGGATCTTATTGTTATGTTTCAGGTCACGTGTTATTGTTAACACGTTCAACAGTAGTGTCGATTCATTGGAACTTCTTAATCTTCTACGTGGCGGCCGTATCGATGACCATGCAAGTTTGATATGTTAATCTCTTACGCATTTTATGAGATGACTGGGTGCTGGGTAATTTAATTTGTATCTGCTCCATGGTAAATTTACAGGTGATGGAAGCTCTTGTGGATAGGCTCGTCACATATCTAGAGAGGCCAGATGTGGAGTCCATGGGCAACCAATATGGGGTTGTATCGACTTTCTTCTGCGTAAGCACCCAATTCAATCTCCTACCATTTTTATCTCATGTTTACAATTGGCTTATCATAATTTTTTGGCAATACAGCATAGTCTTTATGCAGTCACCCCAGATTTTCCACATCTATACACCTCTTTCATACAAAAGCATGTTGCCGCAAGGAAGAATGTACTCCTTATCCCGCTTGTGCGTCATGACCACTGGCATGTGGCTGAAGTAAGGTTGGATGAGGACGTTGTCAAGCATTATAGCTCGGCTGGCCATAGTGCATACGTTGAGCCAGTAAATAAAGTAATTGCATTCATGGACCATATGAAGTCTGGTTTCGATCCGAATAATATTTGGAGAAAGTTCCGATATGAAGCCGTCCCTTGTGAGCAACAGACTGGAATGTTAGTATTTCATGCATTTAAACATGTGTTAGTATGTTAACTAAATTTAAACATTTTCATTTTATTCAGCATGTTATATCTAACTCTCTTTCCATCTTATATCATGCAGCTTTGATTGTGGGCTTTTCGTTCCTTTATATATAAAGGCTATAATTCATGGGGTAGATACCACTCAAGTAACTAATCACTCTGACGAGTCTGAAGTCATCCGTGCCAGGCTTGCAGCTGAACTCCTAATAGAAGGATGGGAACAGAAAAATCAAGGGGAGACAGTGGAAAAGGATGGGTGAATGATATCCTAAAAAGTGATGTGTACGAACAGATTGAATTGGGAACAAAACTAACTGGCATTTTAATTTAGTTAACATTATTGCAGCTTTGTATCATTCTCTTTGACAGTTATTCTACTGTTTGTGTAACTGGTTGATAGTGTGGATGAGAAGATGCACATATCTGGTTGTGAAACTGCCAAAAAATTGGTAAAAAAACCCACTTTCAGTAAAAGTTAACGTATAACTCTGATAGTTAACCACTTTCAGTAAAAGTTAACATATAACTCGAGAACATAACCACTTTCAGAAAATGTTAACATATAAGTGAGATAAATAATCACTTTCTTCAGCAAAAGTCTAACTAATATTTAACCACTTACAGCAAAAGTACAACTTCCACTCTATGACGAGACATGGGATCGCCATGTTAACGCCCAGTGGAACAGTCGTTTCGAACAGCGCGAACCACCAACTGAAGACGAAGTCCTCCAGGTGAACATGGGTACTGAGGCGAATCCCAAACCCATATTCATCAGCGGCAGTCTGCCTCCTCAAGAAAAAGAGGATCTCATCGCCCTTGTACGGGAATACATTGACGTCTTCGCCTGGAATTACGAGGATATGCCTGGTCTGGATCCGCGGGTCGCCACGCATCGCCTCAACATCAGCCCTGACGCCAAGCCAGTCAAACAACAGCAGAGGCGGTTTCGCCCCCAAATCATGGAGGCGATCGAATCTGAAGTAAAGAAGCTGATCGAATCCGGCTTCATCAGAGAGGAGCAACACCCCGACTGGGTGGCGAATATTGTTCCAGTCTTGAAGAAGAACGGCAAGATCCGCATCTGCATCGACTTTAGGAACCTCAACGCCGCATGCCCTAAAGACGAATTCCCTCTGCCCATCACGGATGTCATCATTGACAATACGTGCGGATTCGAGAGGATGTCCTTCATGGACGGCTTCTCGGGGTACAACCAAATCAAAATGCACCCCGAAGACGAGAAACACACTGCATTCAGAACTCCCATGGGGGTGTATTGCTATACCGTCATGCCTTTCGGGCTCAAGAACGCCGGCGCAACCTACCAACGCGCCATGAGCATGATCTTTCGAGATCATCTGCGAAAGACGGTCGAATGCTATGTGGACGACTTGGTCGTGAAGAGCCGCCATAAGGAGGATCACCTCCAAGACTTGAAGGCTATGTTCGAACTCATGAGGACTCATCAGCTCAAGATGAATCCTACCAAGTCATTCTTGGGAATGTCTAGCGGTAAATTCCTCGGTTTCGTCGTCACGACGAAAGGGATCCGAATTGATCCAGACAAGGTGCGGGCTATTCAAGAGCTCCAACCGCCCCGAAATCTTAAAGAACTGAGAGGCCTTCAAGGACGACTGGCTTATATCCGAAGATTCATCTCGAATCTCTCGGGCAAGTGCCAACCCTTCTCTAAGCTGATGAAGAAAGGTACCTCCTTCGTCTGGGATGAGCCATGCCAAAAGGCTTTTGAGGAGATCAAAGCTTATCTCTCAAATCCGCCTGTCCTTGCGGCGCCAATCTCAGGAAGGCCATTCCTCATATACATACGGGCTATGGAACATTCTCTGGGTGCCCTCTTGGCTCAGAACGATGATGCAGGCCACGAGCAGGGCATCTACTACCTGAGCAGAACCTTGCAGGGCGCCGAGCAACGGTACCTAATGGTCGAGAAGGAATGCCTAGCCTTGGTGTTCGCTATCCAAAAGATGCGGCACTACTTGGTTGGCCAAACCATCCATGTCATCTCCCGGATGAATCCCATTCGGGTCTTCATGACACAACCCGCAGCGTTAAACTGGCGCCTGGCCAGGTGGGCGCTTCTGCTCTCTCAATACGATATTCATTTCATGCCGCAGAAATCAGTCAAGGGACAAGCCATCTGCGATCTCATGGCTAGTCACCCGCTGGGGGTGAAAGCCGATCTTTTCGAAGATCTGCCGGATGAACCTCCCGAAGCCAACATGACTTCGTCGCCAGAGGTGTGGCAGATGTTCTTCGACGGCGCGTCTCGCGCAGGCGTGAGCGGCTCTATTTCTGCAGGAGTGGGGGTGACCCTCACCTCCCTGAGTGGTCACGTATTACCCCGGGCCTTTTCCTTGACGGAACCATGTACCAACAACGTAGCTGAGTACAACGCGTTGCTCATAGGGCTTGAGTTAGCCAAAGAGCTCGGGATAAAGCATCTGGAGGCTTATGGCGACTCGCAACTCATTGTCAAACAAATGACTGGCGAATATGAGGTCAGGAATGAAGATCTTATCCCGCTCCACCGAGCAGCGGTCAGACTAGTGGAGTCATTCGAGAGCTTCCGTATTGAGCACGTGCTCCGTTCAAAGAACACCCATGCGGATGCTCTCGCATCCTTGGCAGCTAACTTAGCCCAGCCTCCTGGAACGACCCAAAAGGTCGCTGTCGCCAGCCGAAAACTCTTTCGACCCAAAGACGTCCCAGAAGCAAACGCCACTCATCAAGCCTCGGGTCAGCCAGATCAGGAAGACTGGCGTCTCCCGATCATCGATTATGTCCTATACGGCATGTTGCCCGAAGGAACGAGAGTCTATCCGACGACGTGCCTCGCGGTTCTACTACGATTCAACCACTAAAACGTTGTATCGGAGGTCATACGACGGCTTGCTGCTTCGCTGTCTTTCAAAAACAGAGGCGCAAGAAGCCGTACGTGAAGCACATGACGGCGTGTGCGGAGCTCATCAGCCCGGACCCAAACTTTGGGATCGCCTACGGAGGATGGGCTACTTCTGGCCTATGATGGTTACTGATGCAGTCGCTTATGCTAAGTGATGTTACGAATGCCAGATCCACGCCAACTACATACACCAGCCTCCTGAGGATCTGCATCCGACAAGGGTGGGCCAATTTCTCCACCATCGGCGAAAGGCCATCGCTTCATCCTCGCGATCACCGATTATTTCTCTAAATGGGCAGAAGCCATCCCCTTAAGAGAAGTCAAGACTAGCGACGTGATTAAGTTCATTAAGCACCATGTCATATACCGATACGGCGTACCCCGGCGTATCATTCACGACAATGGCACGCAATTCGTTAGCCATGCCTTCACCAGGTTCTGCGACAAATTTCGAATACAGAACCTCTCGTCCACGGCATACAACCCTTCAGCGAATGGTCTGGCCAAAGCTTTCAACAAGACGATCATCAAGATCTTGACCAAGCTGACTTCCACTAGCAAGCGCGACT